TATCGCTGCCTGAAAGCTACTATTATTCCTGATCAGTATCCTGTATCGCATATTCAATATTGTACACAGATATTTCTTGGAAAAAATATTTTCTCAACACTCAATTTAACTAGGGCATACCATCAAATTCCTGTTAATCCACAGGATGTGCCCAAAACAGCTGTGGCTATCCCATTAAGATTATTCGAATTTTTTAGAATGCAGTTTGGTATATGAAATGCAGGTCAAATATTCCAAAGCTTTACTCATTAAGTACTTTTTGGTTTAGATCTTTGCATTTCCTACTTCGATGATTCAGCAGATAAAAACCACATTCGTTTAATTTTTGATAGACTGAAGAAATATGGGTTAAAATTGGATTCTGCTAGATGTGTTTTTGGAAAGTCATTGGTATCATTTTTTGGTTGTTTAATTACCACTTCTGGTATTCAACCCATTACTGGAAAAAATCACAATAATTTCTAAACCTATAACAATGTCTGAACTAGAGAGATTTTTGGCAATGTTGAATTTTTGTCAGCGATTTTTGCCTAAGCCAGTAATAGAGTTGCCAACTCTCCCGATTTAGGCGGGAGACTCCCAATTTTCGAACGCTCTCCCGCCAACCCGATTTACAATATATTTCTCCCGACTTTTTCTTATTCTTAAAATTTCTCACGATTTTTATGGAACTTGGCTTAATACTTTGTTATATGAACCAAAAAAAAAAAAAAAAAAAAAAAAGAGTGATTTTGGACATCTGAAAGAAATTGAATTTTCTCTAGATTATATCTAAAACAAAACCTTGCGAATCAGATAACTTCTGCTTTGCGAGTGAGAACATATACGTATCCAGAAACGTCGTTCTCCAATGGGCATCAAGCTCCACTGCGTGTCATCTGGCATATATTAGCCAATGAGAACAAAGCAAGCTGTTATTTGGATGTTCTTTAGTTAATTCGTTCATTTTGTCCTGAGTTGTGTGAGTACACATGCCTTCGGGAAATAGTTTTAGAAATTATCATCTTTTGTTATGTCTGTGAGTAAGGTGAAATACTCGTGTACATTTCAAAAATTGTACACAATTGACTTTCCTTCCATTATTTCCTCAAGGAAATGTAATAAATTTGCGATGTGTACCACCTGTCGTTGCAATTTTTTGATTTTGCATGGTGGAAGGGCAGATATTCTCAAACATGTGCGTGCACAAAAACACAAGAACAACATGAGTTGTTTTGAAAAAAAAAAAATTAAATTTTTCTTCAGAAACAAAGGACCAAAAAGTTATTAATGCAGAATGTCTGTTCTCTGCCTTTTTACTGGAGCACAACCTGCCACTGAATGCACCGGATCACGCTGCAGCTTTATTTAGTAAAATGTTTTCCAATAGTGAAATCGCTAAGAAATACTCAAGTGCAAGAACCCAAACAGGTGCAATTGTTACAGAAATGGGTTCGAAAAATCAATCTTCAGTTATTGATTGAATTAAAACAGCTCCATTCTGCCTTTCTACGGATAGAAGCAATAATACCGATTCAAAACTGTATCCAAATTTTTTTTTTTTTTTTTTAATCCAGAGTCTTCAGAAATTGAGTGCAGTTTATTTTCTGTCCCCGCTTTAGAACATTTGACAGGCTTTAATATAGCACAGCTAATTATTAAAACTTTAAAAGAAAATGCAGTCCCTCTGGATAATTGCTTAGCACTTGTTGCCGATAATGCACCAGTAATGGTAGGCTTGAAGACTGGTGTTGCAGGCATCTTAAGAACGGAAAATTCAGATTTGCAGATTATGAGGTGCACCTGTCACCTCTTAAATTTAGCAGCTGAAAAAGGGGCAGCTTCTTTACCAATAAATGTGGATGAACGCATTGTTGATATTTATTATTATCTTGAAAGGAATTCTAAAAGGAAGGAAAAATTGAAACTGTTCCAACAGCTGCATAACAGCAATTTACAATTAGAAAACTTAGATGAAGTTATAAAATCAGCTAGGATTGACACCCAGTGGAGTTTAATTGGAAAACTGAAAGGTGCTGATGGAATTTTAAAATATAGTGAACTGTCTAAAATTATGTTGGCCATCTTAACAGTTCCCCATAGTAATGCAGAGTGTGAGAGGATTTTAAGTTGCAAAAACGAGGACTAAATTTAGATCTAATATTAGTGATGACACATTAGAAAAACTTTTATTAGTGAAAGTAGGCCTATGTGGCAATTGCTATGAACAAATTATGAAGTTTCTTTCTTAAAGAAAACAAAATCTGCCACTGTTTATAACATTTGTACGAAAACTGATTAAAGTGTCTTTTTTTTTTTTTTTTTGTTTTTTTTTTGTTTTTTGTTGTTTTCTTAAACGATGCAAGTAATAAAAATGTTTATGTGTTGCTTGCATTTAAGAATTAGTTACTATTTAAAGTTAATTAATTATTAAAAACTATATTTTTATCATTTAAAAAGTTTTTTAACATTTGGCAAAATCTCCTGATTTTTGAGTGTCATAGGTTGGCAAATATGCAATAATTACCCAAGCCCAGCTTCATTCTCTTTTGAAAGATTGTGAGAAAAATGCTAAATATCCTATTTGCTAGGCAGCAGGAACAAGTGCAGCCTTTGAAAATGCAAAACTGATCTAACAAATGCAGTGACACTTTGTTACCATGCCCCTAGTCAGCGGTTGTCATTAATGGTTGATGGCTCACATGTGGCTATTGAAGCTGTTTTGCACAAAGAATCTATGATCAGCATTGATCACCTGAAACCAGCATTTTTAGTTTCAGATACTGTAGCATCGGCTCCTGTTCCTGAGCAGACTTCTATAGTAGACCTAATTGCACTAAACTTCCAGTGTGGATTACTCGTTCTGGCAGAAGAGTCAAGTTTAACCCTAGATATATCTGACCCCTTGTGCCTTTGGCACGTGTGTCTGTGTGTGTGTGTGGGGGGGGTATTGTGGTGGAATATTTGCATTCCAACAAAAATATTTTAACATTTGCATGCAGGATCCATATTTGCTGCCCTGTACCTGTGCGTACTCGTTATATCACTTATCATATTTTTTTCTTCACATTTGGAAAAAATGATTAACAGTTGGCATAGCATGAAGTAGTATATTTTCAAAGTTACAAGATCCGGGCATAAAAAAAGCCAGGATACCTGAATTTAGGTATGGGGATATAACATGAAAAATTATGACAAGTATGTAATTCAACTTTTTTTATATGTGATGTCCATTAATTTGTATCTCTCTGTTATCTAACTAAATAAAGAACAATTTGTTCGCTTAAACTTCTGTCAGAATGAGTGGCAACATCTTTACCAACTTTCACATTCGGCAGGAGTTTGTAATTGGATCAGATGTTTTACTTTCATGTTTAACCTGTTAACTAAGTGGCATGACTGCCTTCATTTAGTCATGAACTTTTTTGCCACTTGGTATATATTGTATTATAATTTCAAATATTTTGTTTCTTTACTATCTTTAATAATATAAATATCATCTTAATGAATGGAAGCTTGCTAAAGCAGATATTAAAATATGTAATTATAAAAATTTAGCTAATAAAAGCTATTTAAATACAAGACTTCATGAGCAGATCTAGAAAGCCATGCTACTCAGAGGGTTAAAATCCATTAAATATGTCAGCTTTTCTGTCTGAAATGCAGTTTCCCCCTGATATAGAATTTTGAATGTAGGCTTTTGATATTCAAGTTGATAACAAATCTGACGATTGCTTTTAATTTTAGAGCAGAAGTATTTCTCATTCATTTGGCTTTTCTAATGTGAATTCCATTTTTCATATGCTCAACAATCCATAATTTGACATTTCCCAAGTTTTTTGGATAGTAAAGCTTTTACATGTATCCATTCACATGAAATGCCTTTTCCTAAACTGGCATTTAAATTTTAGTTTAATAAGTTTCCAAGCATTAAATAGCTCAGATGCAGAAGTTGCACTTTTGCATTTTATTTCTTAATAATCTATGTATAATTCATTCAGAGTCACAATTTTTTGTGCTTTACTTTTTTTAACAACCCATGTTTTTTTCCCTAAATAAAACTACAGGGGCTGCGTGACTGTATAAAAAGATTAATAAATTTACAAAATACTTTTTAAAAATTTTAAAACATCAATATATGAGTAACTGCATTATTTAAAATATTTTTTTAAGACTGGAACGAGCACCAGTGCAAAAACAAAGGCTGCATAAGGACTTTCGTGGGCATGGTATATATTTTTTTCTGTATCAAATAGTAGGTATAGGAATGCCGTTGTTTGAATATGACCTTTGTCAAATGATGGCCTTCTGCATCACAAGCTCTTTCAAATGGTACCAGAAGCTCTCTATTGCTAACTGTAGCATACTGCCAGAGATATTAGTGATAGTAATTCTGATGCAGTACTTCAATTCTAATACTTTGGCACAATGTGTTCAGAAAACGCTTTATTCTTCATACAAAAAAATCAGCACACATCAGATCCACAGATCAGGCTGCTGTTGTGATCCGACAGCATATTAATAATAAGCTTAATAAAAGCTCCTGTTAAAAATGAATGAAATAAGATGCCCATAATTATGTTAAACAAATAAAAACATTTTACTTAGTTACTCATCACATTGTAGAGACATTAGGTAATTTTTGGAAGCAGAAGAGATGAAAAATTAGCAACGCCTTCGCCAGGAATTGAACTACGGACCTCTGTAATACCGGCTCAGTGTGCTGACCACTACACCACGAAGGCACGCTAAGAAGGCAAGAGAAATACCTTACAACATAACTGATTAAATCAAAGCATGTGAAGGCTGCCAGCCCTAATTGGTAAAATAGTTCATAATTACATTACATATACAGGAAACCCCATACAGCCAGCCAGTTTGCTGCATTTTGAACCTGAATACCAGAGTTCAATAGTTGTACAACACTTGACCACTCACAGATCACATAACGTTTGATGATTCTAGTAACATATAACATCCAAAAATTTACATTTTTTGCCCTCCCCGAAAAAAAATCTTACCTGTCTGTTGCAAACTTCTAAATGCTGTTTTAAACGATACTTCCACCGAAAGGTATGACAACAGTGTGGGCACATAAATGAATCTGGAATATGCATTTTTAAATGTTGACTTAGGTATTTTCGTTTCCCAAATTCTTTCCAGCAGTGGGGGCAAGGATATTTAGGTTTATCACATACATGATTCCCTAGAAAAAAAATAACAATAATAACTAAAATTATTCTTTAAAATTAAAAGGGTCTTCAAAATACTCTTTTTAAAAAATTAGCCTGCAATATATATTTCATTTATACAAAGCTGACTCAGAAATACCTGAAAACTGGTTGAGAAAGGAGAAGCAAATGTGATTATTTAAATATATTTAGAAAGATGGAAATTCCAGAATATAATGAAGTAATCTTTTAATTTTGTCTAAAAAAATCACAACTAGGTTTCCTAACATGGAGTATTAAATTGCAGAAGTCTATAAATAGTGTCACAAAATCTGGCTTTACTTATTAAAAAAAGGTATTTTACACTTAATCTGAATTAAACCTTCTAATTTGAAGAAGAATTTCATTTAATATAATGTAAAACATGTTACTTTTCCCACAAAATAAAATACAATTAAGTGTGAACTGAATGTACGCATACTTAATAAATATTACAAGTATTATTAAAAGTCTGTCAGTGCTTCAGAACTAGCTTAATACAATACAACTATTTACATTCAAAACTAATATTATTACTACAGCAACTTTAAAGCAAAGTGTATATTTATTTAATAACTTAATGGACATATCAGAAGAATAAATGCATATTAAATAAAATTTAAATTCATGCACAAAATTGTAAGACAATTCTGTTGATTTCAACTAATTTGTAATTAAATAAAAAATATATACAGAATACAGAGTGAAGTAAGCTTCAGTCTCATTTCTCATCAGGTATTTTATCAATTATATTGAAATGAAAATAGTAAATTCTTCAATTATCAAAGCCTAGCTAATCAAGTTTACATAATTACAAATAATTCAATTTACAAATTAGTTTTTACCGTATTTGAAATATATACTAAGGAAAAACCTATTTATAAATTCTAAATTTATAAGATATTCTAAATTTATAGAGAGAACATAAAAGCTATTCATTAAAAATACCAGTATAAATAATATCTGTACCTAAAAATATCAAAATAGTGAATATAAAAATCATTTCAAATTTATTTTTGTGAAATTACTTAAAACATAGAGGCCCCCCCCAAAAAAGAATAAATACTATAAAGATAAACATTTATGTCAATTTCCCCTAAAAATAAGGAAATACATTTTTTACTTGAAATATACACCTATATAAACAGGCATCAAATTTTTACAACAGATATAATTTGTTATTCAATTAGTTATAGAAGATAAAAATACTGGTTATAAAAAATAGTTTTCATAAAAGAAGGTATACAAACAGTTATGCCTCATAAGATTATACTGTCAGTTTAAAAAACTCAATCATTTTATAAATTGAACAGGAGACTGCAAAATAACAAACACTAAAACAAAGCACTTAAAAGTTTTAAGAATATTAGCATATGTTTTGGCTTCCATGCAAAATGAGATGCTCTTCTTCTCCATCCAAAAAGGATATCTAAAAATATAAATAAATATTTTGGCATAAGAAACTAAGACTTTTGCTATAAATAATCAGGAATTTTATCACAAATAAGAATTTTCAGATAAAATGTCTACTTCATAAAACAGCACAACAAAGTACAAATCAGCACTGAAAGAGCATTAAAACTGTCTGAAGATCAGAATATTTTTTACTTTCTAATCAGAAAACTACAATATACTTACTTGATTAGAGAAAGTACTTTTGCTTATCAATACAATTTTAAGAGAAGTGGGAAAGCTCTTTTTATGATATCTGAACAGCCTAAATGAATGACTGTAGAATCATTCACTTTCAAGTATTATCACTATTTAAGTACCATATTATGGACACTCACTATTTAAGTACCATTATAGACAATAAAAGAAGACAAGTTGAGAGTTTCCCATATAAATAACTTTCCTGTAATTATGATAAATATTTCAAATAATCAAAGGATTGTGCTAAAATATAACTCACACTTTTAAGTTGTAATCTTGCAGTGCTTTACACAAAATATATGGGATATGTTTATCAGATGTATGTGAATTAATATGTGTGTTATATGAGACTTTAGTCTAACACTCACATAACAATAATATCCAATATAACCTATTCAGCTTTCTATGAAGTTTCCATCGACTCCAATGCACATAGCACTCTGATCAGTTAGGCAGCCAATTCAAGTAATAAAAAAAAGTTCTGTCACAGCCTTGAAACTATTACCGAATACCAAATGCCATTTTTGTGTCATCATTACTGTCATCACATGAACTACATAAGTGCGGCTTCAGTTTTTGAACAAATGTCATTGAAGACTTGTCTGCTGAATACAGTTAGTGGGAGAGAAGGTAAAATTTGCACTGCAGAGTGGCCGTCTGGGAAATCTCAATTCTGTACATGAGTTCATATAAAAACATCACTTTTCTGCTGAATTTGCCATAGTAGTTTACTTTTATAGCTTTTGAAGTCCGGGCAAAAAGTTATCAAAATAAATATCAGTTAAATAACAAATAATTATAGATCAATGGTTCCTCTTCAACCTCCCAAAAATGGCAGCCAAACAATTTCTGTACTCAGGAATAGGAAGATTTATTTTGCTTCTACACTAAATTTCCCTATGAGGTCATAGCAGTGACTAGTCATGAATAAAAACTACACTGGTTATCATTAGTTAAGGAAAAAATCACAAAAATAATAATTACTCAAAAAGTTACATGTAGAATTTAATGAAGCTGACCCACAGTATACAATACATAGTAAGGTATAAAATAATATGAAAAGAAATTACCAGACAATTATGGTGTTATAGAAACTAGCATATGTATAAAATGAACACATCTGGTGTGTCAGTTTGGTATAAGAAAATTACTTTCAGTATGGAGTATGATCTCCCTTAGAAGTGACACAACACATCAAAAGGACTGAGAGCAGCTATACATCTTTCTAAAGTATCCTAAACATTCTTGATAGGCTTCAGGTTTGGTGATCGAGTTAGCCACTCCATGCGCTGAAAATAATGATCCACGATGTGAGCCCTGTGCATTCTAGCACTGTCTACAGACCTGAGCATTCATGGTTCCATGTGGCAAGACATGGAGGTCTGTACATCCACTCAAATAGATACCACCCCAAACACAGACACTGCCTCCTCTGCATGCATCTCTTTCACGGATGTTTGATGGATGACAGTGGGTTCTAGGTTCTCTCCAAATCAAATAATGTCTACTATCTCTTTGGAGGCTAAACCTGGACTCATCCGTAAAGAGAACAGCCCTGCATTGATTAGCTGTCCAGAAAAGTACTGTCGCACTACACAGCACAAAAAGGCATGAATATAATGCATTGTTATGACTTTCTTTTGTCAAGAACTCAATCACTAAATGTTTGAATTTTTGAGATTCAGACATATGATTGGCAATCTTTTATACCTTCCCAAAATCAAATGACAAGTAGCAGTAGTTCAGTTTTTATATTCTTCAAAAAATGATGTAACTGTTCTGCTGCATTTTGTCATTCTAGAAATATAACTTTAGAATTAGGCTTAGAACTTAATGTCTTCTAGACAGGACAGCCCAATGCATCAAATGGGAAAAAATAAAGAAAATTCTGTTTTCCAAAATTTAATTTAAAGTCTGTTGAGCTTTGGATTTGGCAAGAGATATATGAGTGAATCAGAATGTAACTACTACTCAGTGTATTTCATGTCATCATAGGTCAAATTATTTGCGGCCACTAACATAATTGATCTGCAAGGTTATATACTTAGCTACACTATATACACTACCAAATCTATACGACTGTAGAAATTTCATATTAAACTCATTTTGATAACTGTTGAAGACATTATTACAATTAAAAATCAATTTCCTTTTCAGGTACTGGAAAAAAAAAAGTTCAGCTAGTAAAAACATCACTTTATCAAACATGCACTAGACCAAGTACTTCTAAAGGAAAGATAAAATCATATAAATGTTAAGAATTCTTTTAATTTTTATGCTCTCCTCATTGATATAAATACCAAATTTCAAATATTACCTAATCAACTGCATACATCAAAACTACAAAAACAGATTCTTGCAGCAGTTTTTTTTTTTTTTTTTTTTTTTTTTTTTTTTGCTTCGACACTACAAACATATTTTTAAATTAAAATGAGATGAAATTACAAGCAAAAAGAACGACACATTATTTTATGATCTTATGTACATTATGATATTTTCACCTGGCAATGTTTATAGATGACATATCAAAATTTTCAACAGAAAGGCCATATAAGTACAAACATATCATGAATTCAATTGATCAACTTAATTTTGCCCTTCAATTTTTCACAACTCGTCAAAGATTCATACATTATTTGTGCTGCTTGAAACTGTGGATGAAGTAGCTTAGAACAATCATCTGGAGGGAAGGCATCTGTCCCTAGGCACAACATCTGAGGGGGAAGGCAAACTGATGATACAAAATTTTAGAATGAAAAGTTATCCATTCTTGGCAAACAAAAGAAGGCGTGAAATTTGCTGTTGCCACTAGGTACTGAAAACCCCAGCTATGGTTCTGTACCTCCTTCCTCACAAAAAAAAAAAAAAAAAAAAAAAAAAAAAAAAAAAAGGCAGTAAGAGCATGCAAAATATTTTATGCTTGGAACAAATATGATTACTTTTCATTATCCATACCTCCAATCGGAAAGTCACAAACTCGTTGGTGACTCTGGAGGGCATTTGCAAACTCATTTTTTGCCAAGCTTTAAAAAGATAGAAACATCAGTAATAAAACACTTATATTTTGAGAAATCGTTTTTTAGCACTGTTATTTCTTCCATGTGCACAGCAAACTATTTTTGCTTAAAACATATGTTTGAGGGTGGAGAGTGGATACTTTTAGTGTTTCATGTTCTGCAATTGAGAATTATGAAGGGAGACAGAAATTCTATGCAGCCAGTTACACAGAATAACCATACATGTTCAACATATGGCCAGTTTATATGCACAGTGGTCATTTCTCGAAAGTACTGTTCTAATTTTCAAGAGTTACTGTCTCGTAAAATAAATGTTTCCCTACAACACCAAGATTAAAATGCACAAGAGGGTCCACAAAATCATTATTACATTTCAGGATTCTTTCTGATTACCCCCCTGGAAAGTATTCATTAGGCAATGGGCAACCCATGACATTTCCAAAATGTATTTATGTGACAGCCCAGGTATGCAAACACATGCATCAGATGAACACAGATTTCCACCTTTCGATTCAACAGTCATTTTTCTGATTAGTGTTTTTTTACATACAGTAAATTTTTCTTTCTTGTAAGAAACTGTTATGAGACTGTGAAGTGTGCTGGCTAATGAAAAAGAAAGTGTTGCATTTCTTCAGAAATACTACGGTTTGCCTAACAGTAGATAATGCTAAAATTCATATTCAATGAAGTCGTATTCTGAAATGATAAAATTTTACAGATTGAAATTTGTGCAATTCTATGATGAATATTTAAGTGAAAATAGATTATTTTGTACATGGTGGTAGAGGTGGAGGAAACAACAACATACACACATATAAAAAAAATTAAAAAGGTAATAATTTTATTACAGACGTTTCTTGTTTTTTCATTTTATTGTTTTATTGCTCTTTCTTAGGTATGGAATTCTTAGTGCATTGTCATTTTTTAAAATAGCTATAGCCTTTCACACATTAGCTTGGAGAAAATTCAGTCAGCAACAAGATGGCAACTTTTTGGAAAGATGTGCAGTTTTCAGAAAGTACCTATTTCAACAGCTGAGTTCCCGACTGTTAACATATAGAAATCTGCACCTATTGTATTTGGATTCATCTGTGAACAATGTAAAGTTCTAGAGACTTAAAGTCAAGTTCACATACTTGAGTGCAAGTTTATTTCTTTGAAAATGATGCACGGGGCATGGAATTGTTGGCAAGCTGTGTAAACATATCCTTTTCCTACGCAAAATAATAACTGATATAATTTTGCTAGAAACTGTTAAAAGACAAGATTTCTTATAAAATGGGTATGTCCAATTTCTATTCACACATTTGGAAAACACAATTAAAATTCACTTCAAAACACGAGTTTTTATGAAGCTATCTAACTACATAAATTGGTTGACTAGATTATTTGATTATGGCAAAGCACATATAGGCCATCTGCCTATGGAGTAGGATATCTCTGTGAAGTGCTTTCTAAAAGAAATTTGTCCATATTTAGGTTACATCTGAGAAAAATCAAAAACACTGCCTACTGCCATCCCAATAAATCCTTAGAAGAAGAACCCAAGAAATTAGTTTCATGGCTTTAGCTACTTGGCTCATTAAGTACTGTAACTCAAACCAATATTCACAGTGAGCTGATATAATTAATATTAACTACAAAACAAAGATCTCGTGAAGAACATATTACATTTAAGTGAGTTACCATGATTTTCTTGACTTTCTCTTAATTTACGAAAAATAGAAATATCATAAAATAAAGACTATTCTTTTGACATAGCTCACAGCTACTAGCATAGATCATTCATGGTGTTTTCAGGACATATATTACACTCAGTTAAAAGAATCTAAAATATTGCAGATCACCATAATTTAAAATTACTTTCTGCATAAATTAAAAAAATATAATAGCAGAAATATAACTAACCAAGAAAAGACCTCTATAAAATGCTCTGAACAGTTGGTTAACTGACTATGATAAAGCAAATAATGGTTATCTGCTTGCGATAAGGTATGCCTCTATATAGGGCATTTTATGGGAAATTGGCTTGTATTTATGTTATGAATGTGGAAAATCAAGAAAGTCCCATAGTTCCAGCCTGTTCGCCAGAAACAGAACCTCTGCTGAAATACCAATATTCAATGCATTGTCTCATCCACAAATGCTGCAGGGAAAATGCTTTAGAAATAACAATACAAAATTAGTCAAAAGATAATAATAAATAACTTTTACGGCAAAATAATTTTCAATATAATTTTAAAAGAATAATTAAATATTACACAAAAATTCTTAAAAAATAATGTAATTCAGAAGCTTTACATAATAAATACAACTCTTTACATTTAAATACGTAAAAAAATATGTACAATCTTTGATTTTTTTTTAAACTTTTGGGAATTTGATACCATCATCATATTTTTTTACTTATTATGTGCTCTGCCCTTAGGCACTACATGGAAAGGGAGGGATGCCTTGTGGAGGTCTTTTTAAGGGAAACTGGCTCGCATCCACGTTACACATGGGGAAAACCACGAAAACGCCTATGCAGCCAGCTCGTTTGCCGGACCGAACTACCAGTGTTCAGCTGCTTTTACCGCTCGGCTGCTGGTGAGCCACCATCGTCATATTACAAACATTATTAATAGGTGAAGTGCAGAATCGCTCACTTATTTGGCATGTTATGTTTGGTGCTTTTTACAAGAGTAAGAATAATTGGATTTTTGTCAATTTTCTCTGGCTTTTTAAGTGAAAATACATCGAGGTGTATGTGGACAAAATCAAGGGAGTAAACAATGCCGAATTTGTGCAATTCTCTGATGTTTTTTTTAAGTGAAAATAGGTTGATGGGTACATGGATACCGAGTTTGTGCAATTCTTAAAAACGCGCCAAGCAGTGGGTGATTCTGCACTTTCCCCACTACATCAATCTCCCCCAAATTAAAAAAAAAATTACATTAAATCCATTCTATATTTCAATGAAGCCTAAATATAAATGTACCATTTCTGGCCTTAGAATAACATCCTACTTTCTTTGACAGAGAAATTAAAAGAACATAAAGGAGCGGTCCAAAGAAAATAAAATTAATTTCTTTAAATCATACAAAAATTTAGAGTAAAATAAGAAGCTCTGATAAAATTGGCTTGTATTTATGTTATGAATGTGGAAGTCTTAATTTCATATAAACTATAATGCATGCATTTAACTATATGTACAATTTCTTCATGTATATATTATTATTCATAAAATGCTTACATATACTTGGCCTACGTATCATATGCAACAGTTTAAACATTAAAAATATGTAAAGCACCCATTACTAATAACAAAATCACTCTTACAAATTTTACAGATGATGAAACTTCTTAATCTATAAAATTACCAGTGTCGCTAAAGTTCATAATCAAGCATTCATGCACTCAGCTATCATTACTTACTTCCAGTACTGCCACAAAAATGCTAATAAACAGCAAAAATGGCATATAAAGGTTCTGATAAAGTGCATGAATGCTATCATCAAAATAGTAAAGAATCTAATAAGCTTATAATTATTAATTTACTCTTTATAGAAGTATAAACTTTTATAAAAAACTGAGAGACTATCTCATATTTTATAACAAAAATAAACCTCCAAAAAAGCTGCAAAAATATTTCTTTCTTAAAAGCAAAAATACAGCTTGATAATTAATAGTTCCAAAGGTAATTAAATATTAAAAAATATAACATTAAATTTCAAAAGCATAACTGGATCACTAAGGCAAGAATGACACACACAGGTTAAGAGCCTACCTAAAGAATCATAAAAAAAGGAACATTTATTTCCAGTTTAATGTTACAACAAAGTACAGAATAATAATATTACACATGTAATATGTACATGAAAGAAAACAATCATTGCTATATACAAGATGACAATGATTTTAATATTCAAATAAAAAGTAATTCCAGAATCACTAAAGAAAAATCAAATACAGTATGGAATTTAATTCAATTTTATCTTAAGCATGCATTTACAAAACATACTTATGTATGACCAAGATAAAAAATCAGTGCAAATATTTCAGTAAAAATATATGCTTTTTTTAAAGCATTTGAAATATTAGCAACTTGAACATATACAATATTTGTGTTAAATGCAACTTAATGATCATATTTTATGCAAAATAATATATATGACAATGTAGACTAACTTTTTTTTGGTTTAATCTTAGTATCCGGTGCACAAGGGGTTTGCTACTTTTGGCGACTTTATGATGAGCAGTAAACGGGACATATACGATTAGTAGTTAAATGGGTCACTTTGGTATTGCCCATAATTTTCAAAATTGAGCCAAGGCTGCACCATATACTAGGATTTTACCCCTTGTTTTTTAGTG